TTAGCACCTACTTGTCCAGCAGGATCTGGATCTTGTTTGTCATCTCCTCTGGGGCTATTCTCAGCATGCTGCAGCTTAAACACTATCTCAAATAAATTTGTGCCTAAAACTCAACTGCACCTAAGGCTTGAGGCAGGATATTCTAACCTTTTGGGCACCACAACTTCTAAATTAATTGCCATAGGATAAAAAACCAGGACATCCCTGTAACCCAGGGAGGGCCCCACACCAGAGCAGGGGGATGCCCAAAGGAGGCTCTGACCTCGTGGGAAGCCCACGCTGGAGCAGGCTGCTCCTGAAGGATGGCACCCCATGGGAGGGACCCACGCTGGAGCAGTTCATGGAGAATGGCAGCCTGTGGGAAGGGCTCACGTTGGAGAAGTTCCTGGAGGACTGTCTCCCGTGGGAGGGAACCCACGCTGGAGCAGGGGCAGAGTGTGAGGATCCTCCCCTGAGGCGGAAGGAGCGGCAGAGACACCGTGTGATGGACTGACCCCAACCCCCATTCCCTGTCCCCTGTCCTGCTGGGGGGGAGGAGGGAGAGAAATGGGGAGCAAAGCTGAGCCCAGGAAGAAGGAAGGGGTGGAGGGGAGGTGTTTAAGATCTAGTTTTTATTCCTTATTATCGTACTCTGATTTGATCAGCAACAAATTAAAGTAATTTCCCCAAGTCGAGTCTGTTTTGCCCACAAAGATAACTGCTGAGTGATCCCTCCCTGTCCTTATCTCAAGCCATGAGCCTTTTGCTATATTTTCCCTCCCTGCCCAGCTGAGGAGGGGAGTGATGGACCAGCTCTGGGGGGCACCTGGCCTCCAGCCAGGGTCAAGCCACCACAGTTTAAACAGGAGGATCAGTTTATATCCAAACACATTAGAGATTAGCTGATAACGCTCATTCTTCACAGAAATGCCAAAAGCAAAAAGAAATCTTCAAATTTCTCTTATTTTCAATTTCTGCTGCTATTCTGACACCAAGTGTCAAGACTGGTGTATGACAGCAGTTGTAAACTGACAGGAAAAGATTTGAAAAATAAACATTTCAATCTTTTGCTGCTGTGGTGAAGATGGTGATTTTTAACTTGCTGTTATTGCAGGCATGCACAAGGACTCATACACACTTATAATTTAGCAGTATATTGAATTTTTTATTAGAGAAAAATACTACATGGTTTGTGAGGGGATATAAAAATTTGAAATAATATTAAATATGAAATAAAACAAAAGCTCTGTCTCTATTTTTAGTTTAAGTTTACCACATTGATAAAATGAATATACATGAGGATTAGCAGTAGGTATGCATTCTTCCTATACAAGTATCACTTCCTCAGAGCATGCAGGTGGTAGGTAGAGACAAAGCTTTGCCATACTGCTTTCTTCCAATTCTGAGTATACCTGCTGCATGATTAGAGATCCACAAAAAAGTTGTGGAGAGCAGGTAGGCATTCAGCAAAGGTGGTGCTCTAGGGAATCCCCATGGCTTTTGCAGCTTCCTTCTGCATGAGTGTGGTCCCCAGTAAAGGGTTCAAAAATGACATATCTGACACACAGATGAACAGGGATTATATATCAATAAAGGAAAAGAGAAGAGGAAATTTGAGGATCAGCACATTAGTGAGGTGATCTGTGCTTCAAAACTGTGTTTATGAGACAATTCCTGTGCTATTTTGCACCACCATGTGGTGGCAAAGCAATCAAATAACTAAGACTCAGGCTTAGGCACCCCACACCAGGATGACTGCTGGAGAAAGCAAGATGGGAGAAAATCCATTAAAAAAAATCTCCAACTTCAAAAAAAAAGTACCAGGAAAAAACCAAAACCATCCCACTTTGTTGTATCAGTTGTTTCCTTGGTTAGAGGCCTGGCTGCAATCTTAAAACAAACTTAAAATGCAACGCATTGATGGGATTTCAATATCCAGTGAACAAGGTGGACAGTCAGGTCACTCACCAAATGCTTTCATAGGCTCTATCAACTCCAGCTTAAATATCTGACCTTTCTCCAAATCTTTTAGCATTTTGGCAACTTCATAATGTCGACGATCTGATACATTTTTTCCATTTATAGTCTCTATGTGATCACCCACACAGACCGTTTTGTTTTGGTCCATAAGGCTACCTTCTTTGATTCTCTATTGGTAAAAAAAAAAAAAAAAAGAATTAGAAACATTTCTTTAAAAGGTAAAGAGGTGACACCCCACAGTTTCAAGAATGTCAGTGAACATCAACAGCATTGAGCTGCTTATACCAGCACGGCGTTTTGTCTATAAGACTTCCATAACACATATTTTAGAAAAGCATTGTTTTTCAAACAAAATATTTTAATCACCATTGAATATAAAATCAACTGAATCAAAAGAAGGCAATCACACTTTAGAAATTTAGGCTTATGAATAAGCTACATTTTTATGCTTTAAAACTGAAGTCAAAGTGTCAGTAATGTGAATGTTTAAATGAGATTTGGTGTTTGATTTTGATCTAATAGCTTGATAAGCACAGGGACAGAACTCTTCTCTTTTCAGGTATGGTCCAGGGACATGAAAAAATGTGTGTGATACACTAGAAAATTGCATACTATAAAGGGCTAGTCTTAATTAGACCTTCTATAGCAATAAAACTTATCAAGCTATACACAAGCATATTAAAGTATTTCCTCTGAAATAACAATAAAGAATAATAAATTATTCTAAATGTCATCTCATGGAATACAAATGGTCTAAAGGTCATAATATGTAACAGAAGTTATTACTGATAATTTTTTGCAAAGTGGAATGTAAAAAGTGAGGAAAAAAACGATCTTTAAAAGATCTCTGTGATTTACAAAGTCAGTTAAAAGACACTTAAAACTTCAGTGATTGTGTAGATTTTTGTATATGCTGCCATACTTGTTTATCATGTGCCTAAGTCATGTAAGCTCTTATCCTATGGCTGTTTAATAGAAAAGCTATGACCTAGTAGAATATATTCTATTTAGTAGAGATACGAATTTTGTTCTAGTATCTTCCTGAATAACACACTTTTCGATAAAGACTGATGTTGTTCAGGCTAACTTTGAGAGAGATAACAGTGAGACAAGGGAGATAAACATATTACCGCCTACTACTATAACACCTAGCCTAGCTGCATAACTATCTCAGAACACTGCTTCTAGTTTATGTGCGCACATCTGAGCCCACATATGAGCCTCCATCTGAGAGTCAGTGGGAAGTGTGATAATGCTCAGTGTCCTATAATACACTGCAATGATTTTTAGCTTCAGGCTGAGTTTAACTCTTTCAGTACTTTTTTCTTCAATCTAGATTAAAACCAAAAAGAAGCCACATGGTGAAGAGGAGGGTAATGTACACATGCCAGAAACTGTTTCCAAATGCATTTCTGTTACCAGGTGCCAGGATTCAAAAGCCTGTCCACCAGGCTCAAAAAAATGGTTAGTCCATGTGCTGAATTCCTTCTCATTTAGCTTTTCTTCTTCATCTGGATCCTAACACCAAGACTGTTTAAGTAACATTCACTGGTTGTGTTATCTGTGTCGTGTCAAACATATTTTAATATGACAGTTTTTATCCTTGTTCCAAACTAACTGACCGTCAAGACAGTCAAGCTACATTGTCACAGTTATTAAGATGCAATTGATATGCATGCATTTCAAGTGCTCTACAGTCCAGTTAGAAGCTAGGATTTATATTTCCTATGCAATGCCTAAAATTAATTGCACCACTCCTTTTTATAATGGCTCTTTATACACCAGTCAGTCATGCTTCAAGTTGTACTGTTATTCTTTGAATGGCTAATTTGATTCCATAATACATCTTCTCATCTGGCCACGTACCCAGAAAATAAAATTGTGTAAGTAGAATGACACCAAATTTTGTTCTTAGTAAGGCAAAACATTATGTTTCACAGGAAAACAACCCTACAGTTCAGAGTGTCAGGTTTAAAAACTGAGTTATATATCAAATGTAGAAACTGCCTGCTATTCAAAATGCAATAAAATTACTATGGCCCATAACATAGGTAAATTAAATATTAACTGTCAATTAATAACAGAATCAAAGAAATTAAATTTATAAACAAAAATAATCTTATCAAATTTTAGATAGTCTCTGCTTAGTCATTTACATAGACAACCATGTATAAAAAAGATGCAGTTTTTACTTCTGCATATGTATTTTCTATGCTGTTTTAAAAGATCCATTAGCAAAATATGCAACAAAGCAAGCTCCTAGAAACTCCTTTAAACTGCTGCATTCCCACAAAGACTGCACCATTTTCATTACACTGCTTATTAGACCAGCACAAGGACAACGATATATTTGTTCAGACAAGTTTTATACAATTTACTGGAAATTACAGCTTGTCTCGCTAATGTGGTGAGGGTTTTCCAGTCCGCACCAATTACGCAGTAGTCTATGTGATGGCAGTTCTCTCTGTCCGTGTTACCAAGCAAGCACAGCAAGAGGAACGCTCTGTATAGTGCCGCACACGTGAACTTTAATCACTGAAGCACTGCTTTCACTGCCTTCTTTTGAAATGCCACATAAGCAGCAGCGTGACTGAACATTATGGGCTGCATGGATGCTACCATTAGAAAGAGAGTTTTGTGTCTATAAACATAAAAATGAGGCTGTGATTTTGCCAAACTTCTTATTGCAGTCTCCACTGCATCTTGATTTTCTCAAGCATGACCTCAATCACATTTTTCCACAACAAAGACAGGCAAGCCTCTGTCTTGTTTTATATCCATGGCAGCTAAGGAACGAACAGAGAATACAACCTCTCCTTACAAGAAACTCTGATTACACTACCAAGGAGAACAGCGATTGAGAGAGCAGTAATCGAAGATAATTGCCAATGCCTCGCTAATAATAGATAATTGGAGTAGATTAGAGCAAAGCATCTAAAAAAGGCAGAATATGTGACTAAGGCTCCTAATACCTAGTCTAGCAATAAGGGTACCATCATTTCCTCAGCCTCTACTTGTCTCAAAACATACTACCTGGAGGTCATATAGAAGAGGAGGAGGAAAGTAATTATGATTAATATATTGTACATGTTACTGCCCATAGTTGCTAATCAAGTTAATTGTGGTGAATTATATTAATCCATACCAATAGCACCTTTTAATTCACCCTACCTAAAGCAACAATATTGGAAAGCTGAAAAAGCACTGTACTCGCACCTATTCTTACACAGCACAAAGGCTTCTGCCCAGTGAAGAATTATAAAGACTGAAAGAACTTGATCTCATTATCACGAGTGACAGATGTTCTATAAGCACCTAAGCAGTGACGTCAGGAAATCATTAAAAAAAAAGAAGAGGGGGCAGATGCAAGCAGTATCTAACACCTACCACCTCAGGGTAGGTCGCAAAATACAATGGTCACATTGTAAAGCTCATACACATTACAGAAGCAATGCATAAATTAACTAATTTTGAATGACATGCAGTACAGAAAGAGCTGAACTAATTTTGAATGACGTACCTAAAGAAAAGCAACTTTATTTTTCACTTATATATATAATAACGAAATATTTTATAGTTTTAAAGGATCATTAAAACAATAATTAAAATGTTATAGTAGCAGAAGCTTCTACAGAACGAAGCAGCTGGTAATTAAGTCCACTGGTAATTACCTTTATATTTAAATTTACCTTTATAAATGCACAGCCAGTTCCATTGTCTGTAATGGTAAGTCCAAGTACATCATCAGTTTTAAGAATTTCCACTTCTTTTCGTTGTCCTTTTACGTGGGCAAATATGAAATCTTCAAGGCCAATTTGTGCACCTAAGAGCTTGTCCATATCAGCTTTATGAGTGTTCAAAGTGCAAAACATGATCTGCGCAGAAGGAAAGCAAACACATCTTTAACAGTACATTAGGTTTGGTGAGCTTGATAGGAAGATAAAAGGAGAGCATAGTTCTGGCCTCTCTGGCAGATCCACAGCTGAAATGATGATTCCTCTCCTCCAGCTGTCCCAGGAGAGGTGACAGTCTCCATCCACACACATGACAGGAAGCATCAATAGCTCAAACTGCAGATAAGAGCGGGCAGGGAGCAAAGGAGAGACATACGTGTGTGAGCAGCCCCTCACAGCCCATCCCAGCACACCAACTCTGACACAGGCATCTCGAAGTAGACCAGAACAGCCTGTTCCAGAGGTCAGAGCGAGCAAACTGTTTTGCTTCATCATTCACCCACCTCAAATTCCACAGGATTCAAACACCACGAGGGACTGTTGTAAAATGTAACTGCTTGAAAGCAGTTTCATGGGGAAAAAGGGAGCTCGTCAAAACAAAAATATCAGGAGAAAGCATGAAATGTTTTATGTTGCTCCACATGTTCCACCATTAGCTCAGAACATGTTCTCTCTGACAAGCTTGCTTAGTTTCCTACTTTTCCTCCAGCATAAGGGGTCATCTCCACCCCAGCTTATTTCTTAAGTAAAACAGCAATATTTTTCCTTCGAAAATCAGCCTTTCTGAGGGATTTTCCTTCAGCACTGGGTGCTAGGCTCTCCTTTTTCTCTCTACGCTTACACTAGTGCTTTTTCTACAGAGAGGTTTGCTGCCCTGGGCAGGGCAGGATGAGGCGAACCCAGCTGCAGCACTTGGGGCAGAGGCAATGCTTTTTGCCCACCAAGGTGCTGCCTGGAGGAATTTGGCCACTCTGGGCAGGCTTTGGGCTTTCTGCTTTTTAAGTACAGGAGGTACTGAACAGCCTAGCCAAAAAAAGAATATAACAAACCCAATGCTCCTCCTCACAGCCAGAGTAATTCTGCCTGCCCAACTCCTTTCCAGGCTGTAGCTGGAGAGGAGCAAGGGAGGCCCCGCAGGGCCTCCTCCTGCGCAGCACAGGAGAGCACAAGGCAGCAGCCTACGGAGAGAAACCATGCCAAGAGAAACTTGGAGAATCCCTAAAATCTACTTCGCTGAGGCAAAGATTGGCCCTAAAGACCATCTTTCACATGCAACTGGAAGCAGAGGAAGAGAAGGAGGCTTGCCAGCCTGTTTGGCCCTCCAGCACAGGTGGCAAGGCCACAGTCAGACAAAGGCTCTGCTGACAGCAGGACGCACATGGGCTCTGGCAGGACACGCAATAAAAGCGGATACTTTTCTACCCCCTGCCTATACCTGCTGGACAGTTTTCCTTCAGAGCACACCTTGGGCGCCCCTGCAGCCCACCCCAGCTCTGAATTAGGAGGGGGAAAAAGCAGTGCCAACACACGGAAAGAAGTACACAGTGGGAAGCCAGCCTAGCACTTGAGAAAACCAGCAGCAGGATGTCACCCAGTGCCCTTCACCTTTGCTCCTGCTTTAGTGGCAGTCCCTGCCCAAGCGCAGACCTGCGTCCGTGCCTTCCGAACCCCTCGGTGCTTCGCAGGAAACGCAGGGTCTCCTGCCCTCCCGGTTTCCCTCACTGTGCTTGTGCGAGTCACAGGGTTTTCCGCACCAGAACACTTCAAATGCTTTTTCTTTCCCCTCTGTCACCACTGGATGACAGCAGAAAAATTGAAATGAAAGTCACCAACCTTTTCAAATGTATTCCAGGTCAAATGAGGGGTGAATACTTTTCCTAATATATTTCACAGAGAGCATTTAAGTTTCTGAAGCTTTCTAGAACTTAGATTCTATAACTGGTGAGGTTTGGTTTTTAATACTGAAAGTTTAGTAGTGAGATGATGTTTCCTGATGGGGGGGCGGGGAGGGTGTCTTGTTTCATTGTTGGGTTTTTAAAATAAAAGAAAACAGCCCTACTTCAAAGGGCAGTTATTTATCTCATATAATCCATCAAACATCCATGTGGTCTAACACCTTACTTTAACAACGACAGTCTAAGAGCACACCCTTAACAGACATTACTTTTATTCTCTCAGGTAATGCAGTTTTTCAGTTAACTAATACTCAAGCAGTAACATCACCTAGAGTAATTCAGCTGGTTTTAAGTAGAAAATTAAATTTTGTTTTATACATAATAATCTCTAATCCTCAGAATTTTTTTTAACCAAGAAGATACAATTCAAACAGATTATATAAAGTTCAGTCATACATATTCAGTTGTCTCTCAACGTACATAGTAACGTGGCCAGTTTACAACTGCAAGTCAGTTCTTAATCTTACAATGAACAACAAGCATGATGTCTTTACATGTTAGACATCAGCATCCTTCATCTGACCTTGTCAAACAAACAATCATCTATTAACTACTGTCACACCTTTGAATAAATAAAATTGGCAACAGAGCAGAAACGTGATATTTAGAAACTCGATCCAGAGTTTCTCTTTTTAGACCTTCATCTGGATGGCATTCCTACTACAGCCTATAAGTCTGCAGGATTTTTTGTGAGTCAGTTCTGCGCTAACCACAAGGCTGAGAGAACATCAGCCAGTCAAAAATAAAACTTAAATCATTCTTTAGTCTCTTTAGTGAACAACTGTTTTTTCTCAGAACGGATATATGCAAAGAGTAATGTACTAAAGATGTATCTACCCAGGATAATATACAGTTACACCATCTGTCAGTTATAGCACAGCTTTATTTGTACATGACTGAGACCTGTCAATTAAAAAATTATATTTTCGTAGATTTTACATAATACTAATATTGATACTTAATAACAGCTTATGCACTTAAATAATTAAACAACAGCTACTTTAGTATGCCTTCCATTCACTCAGTTTGGTATGACTTTGACAGTAATTTTCTTACCCAGAGATGAAGCAAGAAAAAAAAACAGCGTGCAATTTTCATTGTTAATTCTTTCCTCTCTCTTCTTACTCTCAACCTTCGTATGCATTTGATCTTTAACTCAGCATACCAGTGCTGTGACATTTCATGCTAACTTTAGCAAGATATTATAAATCATCACTGTTACATCAGTCACGAAGTATCTAGGATACCTCCTTCACTGAGTTATCTTGTGTGGCACAGAGGACAAGGAAATTCCATTGGGCTGGCAGGGACTAGAGGCTTATGCACAACCTTATAAAATAGATATGTCAGATAAGACTACTAACAGATTATTCCCTGCATCAGTGTTTTCAATAGGAAGAGACTACATTAGCCAAACAAACAGGGTTACACTGTGTGTTATATAACAAGACTGTATTAGCTATGAAAACGTTACACTATGTGTTATATAAAGTACATATGCAGTACCATATTGCGCATCCTATACATTAATTACATTCTCATCTTCCATATTAAGTCTAGACCTTGAGAAGAACTCAAAAATAAGCTGATAGGTGACATTCTCAGAAGCTATTAAAAGTGTTTTTTAAAATCACTAGATCTTTAGTAGAACTTTACAAAGGAGATCATAATCACTTTCTCTATTTAAGAGGTGGGGAAGTGGGAATTCTACTTCTGAGCAAGATATAACACCCACTGACATATTTCCCTTCATACACAGGCGTCATTATATGAAGAAATCAGCAACTCATTTTCTAGCTACCTTACTCACTTTATCCTCCCTGAGGAAAATGTAGGAGCCTGGACTATCTGCAGCAACAGGAAGAGCAACCAAGTCCTCCAAGTTCTACTGTGCTTTTGGTACTCTGTGCAATTTTGTCTTCCCAGATACATTCAAAGTAGTATAAAATAAGCATTCAGTGTTATAGTGTTCTTTTTTTTTTAAACCCAGAACACACAAGAATTACAGTATAAGTTCTTCCATAGTTGAAAAAAAATGATCATTACCACGGCAAGCATCACACGTCATACGGGTGTGAAATTTAAGTACTGCTTAGTAGAACAGCAAGCAAACAATGGTTGCCATAGGGTTGGGAGGAGGTGGTTTGTAGGGAGTGTTAAGTTTGTTCATTTGAAGTCTTCAATTTGTAGGCGAGATTGTGAACAATTTGTTTCAACAGATAAGCATACACTCTAAAACTTCAAACATTCTAGAGATGAGGATTTCACAAGCTGACCCTTTAACCTAAAATACAATTCAGATTTTTTCTTGTTATAAGGCCACTTTTATTCAGAAACCAAAGTTTCAGTATTCTTTCATAAAAGTTCAATTTTAACAGGTTTAAATCAAACACTGCTATCAAAGTTTAATGTGGCACAGCCTCACAGTATATTAAGTGTTCAGCATGAGGAGGCAAGGCCCGTGGAACAACAGCCCTGACACAAACTCAGCAAATGAACTCTTGTTATTGGAAGAGACACGGGGAGCTGCATTTCTGTCCTTGATACTACAGGGGAAGGTCTCATTTTTCCTGTACTCCCCTTATGAAACAGAATTCTTTCCACTGTGAAAGAAACCCCAACCTCCATGGGCTTGACAGACACACCCGCTGAGCATCCAATTTACCTCACTACCCACCATTCTTCACCTTCCAAAGCAAACAAAATAATCAAAAGTGAAAATTATGAGTACACAAACCGAAAGTCCATATAGCTTCTGTGGTTTACCATTCCCTTCTCCTTTGATTAAGAAACAGCCCTGCTACAGTTGGACTTTAATATCCGTGTTCCCAGTGCCCGATTAGCTACTTTGAATACTTTAAAGCCCTACCATGTGCTCTCACAGGAGCACACCACCACCAAATGCTTTAACAGACCCACATTGTCCTTTAGTCAGTGCTCATTTATTTGTCGTAAAGGCTGCACTTAGCACTTTCACCCTTACAGACAACGTAACGTTCCCTGCTAGCCACAGTGGAGTAGTAATCATAAATGGCAAAGACCATATACAAATACTTTTTCCAACTAAATGGCCAAGACCATACACAAATACTTTTTCCAACTACTATTCCTACTTCATCATCTGTAGAAAAAAAACAAGGAAGATATTTGCATTGTTTATGCAAGTAGAAACATACACGTAACTGCAGATGGGTTGTGTTATTAGT